TCAGCCTCCCAAAGTGCTGGGATTACAGGCTTGAGCCACCGCGCCCGACTAATTTCCCATTTTTTAAGGCAAACATTGTTTTAGCTGTTTCATTTGGTGTTTATCTATGTGTCTTTAAATTCTGTGGTTTTAGGCATTCTCTGCTGAGTCTGGACCCTTCATCTGTGCTCTGGGAGTTCTTGCCTGCTGTCAGTGCTGCCCCTAGCTGGGCCATGCAGGAGCACTCGGTTTCCTTTTTTTTTTTTTTTTTTTTTTTTTTAAAAACGAGAGAGAGTCTCGCTGTGCAGCCCAGGCTACAGTGCAGTGGCTGTAACCTCTGCCTCCCAGGCTCAAGCAACTCTCCTGCCTCAGCTTCCTGAGTAGCTGGTATTATAGGCATGCATCACCATGCCCAGCTAATTTTTATATTTTTAGTAGATAACGGGTTTCACTGTGTTGGCCAGGTTGGTCTCAAACTCCTGACCTTAAGTGATTGCCTGGCTTGGCCTCCCAACGTGTTGGGATTATAGGCGTGAGCCACCGCGCCTGCCCAGCCATGTTTAACTTTTTAAGAAATTGCCAGACCATTTCCTAGTTTGATGTGAGTCCTATGGATTAGAGAGAGAGAGAGAGAGAGAGAGAGAGAGAGAGAGAGAGAGAGAGAGTGTGTGTGTGTGTGTGTGTGTGTGTGTGTGTGTGTGTGTGTGTGTGCGTGTGTGTGTGTGTTTTCTTTTTAGGTACCTAGCAACCTAGCAGTCCCTCTTTCCTGATGTCACCTCAGTTTCAGATCTCTATCAGGCAGAGTTTTTTGGCCCCTCCTTTTCCGGACCCTTCTGGTGGCCCTTACCTGTAGGTGCTGCTGGGCCAGCTGCCCCCTTCAGCATCAGTGTGGGAGAATCAGTCACTCTCTCCTGTGTCTCCTGGAGCCTCTAGTGTTTGGTTTTTTATACCTTTCCTGTTTTGTTTTATTCCCTCATTTTAGTGGAGTACCGGCCCCTTCAATAACTTACGCGGAAAAGGAGCATGGGAGACAAAGTTGTGTTTCCTTGTTCGCATATCTGAATTTTATTTTACCTTTGCACATAAGTTTGGCTGGTTTTAGAATCATAAGCTAGAAATATTCCCCATAATTTTGAAAGTTAAGCATACTCCATTTTTACAAGCTTTCGGTGTTGCTGGTGCCGTAATAATGTTTTATTCTTTGATAACTGTTTCCTTCCTGGAAATTTTAAATATCTTTTTAACCATTGCACTGCCTCCTCAGTGGGTCTTTTTATTTTAGAGACTCTTGCCTTGCAGCTTAGGAAAAGGGATCACTAGATTTGTTCTCTTCCTTTTCTCTGTTCTATTCTGTTTTCTTCCCTGTTCTCTTTTTCTGGAACTCTATTATTGGGAATCGGAGCTCTTGGATTAATTCTCAGTTTTTGTTTTCTCCTCTCCAGTTTTCCATCTCTTTGATTATTTTACTTTTAGTAGGTTTCTATAACTTCTGCCAAATCTTTTATGAGTTTTCATGTTTGCTGTCATGTGTTCTGTTTTTTTGTTGTTTGTTTTTGAGACAGGCCTCACTCTCATTCAGGCTGGAGTACACTAGTGTGGTCATAGCTCATTGTAGCCTCAAATGCTCAGGCTGAAGCAATCCTCTTGTGTCGTCCTCCTGAGTAGCTGGGACTATAGGTGCGTGCCACTATGCGCAGCTAATTTTTTTTTTTTTTTTTTTTTTTTTCCCATGGAGACAGGGTCTTACTATGTTGCCCAGGCTGGTCTTCAACTCCTGGCCTCAAGCAATCCTCCTGCCTCAGCCTCCCAAAATGTTGGGATTACAGGTGTGAGCCACTGCACCTGGCCTCCTGTTCATTTCTAAAGACCACTACAAAATGTTAAAGGAAGTTAAAGAAGGCACCAGGTGTGGTGGCTCACATATGGAATCCCAGCATTTTGGGAGGCCCAAGGCAGGTGTATCACTTGAGGTCAGGAGTTAGAGACAGCCCACCAACATGGGGAAACCTCGTCTCTGCTAAAAATATAAAAATTAACTGGGTGTGGTGAGGCGCACCTGTAGTCCCAGCTACTCTGGAGGCTGAGGCAGGAGAATGGTCTGAACCCAGGAGGTGGAGATTAGAAGCCCCCATCTCTGTGCTCCATTTTCAGAGGCGGGCAATGGATACTGTTGTCTGCATGTTCCTTCTTAATAGCACCCGTTTTTGTTTCATGAGTACAGTAGAACCTCTCACTTTGAGGATGTTAATGGCCTGTTTTTGGTTTTAGCTTTTCATCTTTGTAATTATTTCTTCTGTGCTGTTTTCCTTTGTGGTTTTAGTCTCTGTCTCAGATGTTTGGTGGTCCTTGCCTGTTTGCTGTGTGGCTGAGGGACTTGAAGCTCTGTGCACGTGGGCCTTCCTGGAGGGTGAATGAGCTGGAATGTTTCATTGGGAATTTCCTCCTGTTGGGGACTTTTTTCTTCACCTGGTCAGATTTTTTCATAAAGGACTTTTTCCTGTCTACCTGGAGACTGGGGTTCTGAGAGCTTAGTGGAAGAAAAGTGGCTAATGGGAATCTGTCCTGTCTTCCCTGAGTAAAGAACCTTGATTTTCAGCTGAACTGGTGTTCTCCAACCCAGACACTACCTGTTTCACTTTCTCACCAGTTTACTTTTGATTTGTTTACTGCTTGGGTTGTGGGAGGAATCTGGGTGTGTCCACCTGCCTTGTCCCTGCCCCCACTTTTTAATACGAGTAATTTCAGATCTATAGAAAAGTCGCAAGAATAGTGCAGTAAGCAGCCTTTACCCAGATTTACCAGCTGATAGTGTTCTGCCACAGTTGCTCTTTTTGTTTTTCTTCTGAACCCTTTGAGAGATTACAGTAATTATGACATTTTACCCCTAAATACTGTCATCAAAAAACAAGAACAATCCCAGGATTACAGAAGCCTTTTCACGTGCAAGAAATTTACTGTAGTACTATTCTATATAATCCATATTCAAATTTTTTTCATTATCCCCAAAATGTCCTTTACAGAGTTCCCCCCACCTTTTAATTCAAGACTTATTCAAGTATTACATAAGTATTTTATTGCCGTATTGCTTTGTTCTTTAATCTAGAAGTATTCCCAGCCCTCTTTTGCAGGAGGCATGGGGTGTCTTGCGTGACATTGCCATATTTAAAGAGTCCAGGTCAGTTCTGTAGAATGGCCTTTCAATTTGGACTCATCTCTTTCTTCATGATTAGCTTTAGATGAGACTTTTTTTTTTTTTTTAAGGTAGCAATACTATGTAAGTCATAATTATCAAATCATGAGGCCCAAGGTCAGTTTGTCTCATTATTGGTGATGTTAAGTTTGATCACTTGGTTAAGATAATGTTTGCCAGATGTCACTATTGTGAATATTTCTTTCCCCTTTTGTAATAAAAAGTAATTTGTGAATAAATAATCTCTGGTGTGGTATTCTAGGTATTCTCCCTGATTCTGTTTCCTTGCTGAACTTGCTGACTCGTTAGAAAATGCAGTGACGAGGGCCTCCATTTCACCATAGTAACTTAAAAAACAAAAACTGCCAAGGCATAATTTTAATAAGAGTACATGGGACCTATTTGATGCTAGCACCAGCATTTCTTAGGGCCCTAAAGAAAGCCTGCATTGCCGGATTCTGTGCTACAGGTGCCCCTCAAGCCTTGTAGCCCCAAGTAGTCTGAACTGTGCTGGCCAGGGAGCCTGCGACTGCACAGGCAGGACTCACAGCACACATCTCCTTTTGCTTTCAGAAGTGACCGGGGAGGCACGTCCTTACCATGGGAAGGAGGCTGTGGATCCGAGACAGGGGCGGGCCAGAGGAGGCGACCCCACGCACTTCCACGCAGTGAACGTGGCGCAGCCTGTCCGCTTCAGTAGTAAGTTGCAGACCTGCCCTAACTGGAACACCAGGAAGTACAACCCTGACACGGCCCCTGCCTCTCCACCACTACTGTGTTGCATGAGGGGCTTCCCAAAGCAGCCCTTAGAGACCAGTGGGGGGAATGAATGAGGCTGGATGGTGACCCACCCAAAGTTACCCAAAATCTGCCAGTAATTTTGATAGAGAGGGGGTTTTACCATGTTGCCCAGGCTTTCTCAAACTCCTGAGCTCCAGCGATCTGCCCACTTAGGTCTCCCAAAGTGCTGGAATTATAGGCGTGAGCCACTGCACCCAGCCCTCTGATTCCTTGTCTGCACCTGAAGAGCTTCCCTGCACACTCAGGTGTGCCCTTCATGGAGAGCAGATTGTGCTGTTCAGCTTGTAACCATCACAGACAGTGCTGTGGCCATGCTCAGGGGCCAGGGCTGCCTCTCCTTTCCTGTAATCTATATGCCGTTGTGAAGAAGTCATACACACACATGCTTACATAATAAATACATGGGCATTTGTCTCTAGAAGTTTTACTAGTGCCACAGGACATAGATGCACTTTAAAAATGGCATTTTTAGCCACTGCACTCCAGCCTGGGCAGCAGAGTGAGACTGCATCTCAAAAAAAAAAAAAAGTGCATTTTAAATTTTACAACTGGCTTTGCTAAATTACTGTAAAACGGGTCTCTGATGTTACCTAAGGTGGGCTGTAAATTACCGGGCATTCCCGTGTGTGGGTGTAGGAGTAGGAAGTGACAGGTGGAGGAGGTGAGAAGACGCTGGCCAGACTCAGTGGTGCTCACGTATTGGCTGGCTCCTCAGCTTTGCCAGCTGTGGCATCGCCCACGCCTTCTTTTTTTTTTTGCCTGTGGGAGGCAGGGGCAGGTCACACGGTGTCACTGCCCTTTCAGCTTTGATCCTTTGAGCTGCCATTTTAAGGGAACCTCCACTGCAAATGCTCATGTAAGTAGAAAAGGAGAGAGGAGTCAGCTCAGGAGGCAGCAGGCTAGCTGGCAGCAGAGGCCAGGAGAGCTGGGCATTGGAAGCAAGGCGCAAAGTGAACTGCACAGGAATTTGTTCTGTGTTGTTAACTCAGAAAATGAAATTTATTTTATAAGACTTAATCCGGCAGCCATTCTTGGCTAGTGAATAAATTAAAAGATCTTACAGAAATGGGAGGAGTCACCAAATATACTTGTATCATTGTTAAATCTGTGTTTTTGAGAAACAAAAACCCCATTTCTCCAATAGGGTTTCAGAAGCAGAGCTTCTCCTCTCCAGCCTCAGTTTCCCCACTTCTCTAGGGGTGATTTACAAAGTGTGCCTGTCCCTGATGGAGCACATAAAATTTCCGTTTTGGAGCTGGATCCTAACTTGGGGGACAACTCCCCTTCTGTCCTTCATGTTTCCTAGGGAAGTGCCCGACAGGGTGGCACCACTACGAAGGCACGGCCAGCTGCTACAGGGTCTACCTGAGTGGGGAGAACTACTGGGATGCTGCACAGACCTGCCAGCGCCTGAATGGCTCTCTCGCCACCTTCTCTACAGACCAGGAGCTGCGCTTTGTCCTGGCCCAGGAATGGGACCAGCCTGAGCGGAGCTTTGGTTGGAAGGAGCAGCGCAAGTAAGTCCTGAATTGGGGACCTGAGGGGCGTGGAGTCAGAGTCTGATGACCACTGAGCACATGACCTCTGACCACTCACTAAACTGCTGGGGCTCAGCTGGCAGCCGACATGTTAGGAAGGCCAGCGTTGCCCACTGGAGGTACGTGGAGATCCAGGGGTTAGAGTGTGTGTTGAAATGGGCAGAGTCCCACATTGTGGGACTTTGGGCCAGCCGTTTTCATTGGTCCCCCTCTGTGGATACAACAGCAGTTGCTGAGGGAGGGCACGGGGCCTGGGGGTGCTGGCTTGTGAGGGGAGAGCGGCTTGGTGTAGGGCTTCATGGGCGTAGTGTGAGGGGTGTGTAGTAGGTGGGGGTTTTCCCCGAGAAAGAAAAGGGGGCCTTCGCTTAAAGACCCAAGCTGGGTTTTGACCTCACAGTTATGCCCTGTGTGACTGGCAAATCACAAGACTGAGTTGTTTCTCCTTCTACAGCTACAAACGGAGAAAACTAACTCTTAGCTCACAGGTTGTTATACTGACCTCACAAGGACAGGCCTGTGAGTCCAGTGGAGAAGCAAGAGGGCATAGCCCAGAGGGCAGGGCAGCCTTGTCTCTGAGGACAGCTGTGTGGTAGCACAGCACAGGCCAAGGGCAGAGTATCCCAGCCCAGGGCTCCTGCCATGCGGGGACACCTGCTGATGGGCATCTCCAGGCTTGGGGCTGGAAAGCTGGGCCAAGGGGCATGGACTAGGCAGGTACTTCCGCCAGGTCCCAGTGCAAGGTCCCCTCAGTGCTAGGCCTTGCGTGCTCAGGAGCAGGCTGCAGGCTGAGGTGGGCTGGCTCTGAGCAGGAAGCTGTGCTAGTGTTTTCAGCCTCCATGCTAGTGGGTATTCACAGGGGCTTATGAATTTATTGAGGTGTAATTCACATGACATGAGACTCACCCCTGTAGAGTAGTCACAGACTTGTATTTATGGGGTTTCATGTCTACCAAGAATAAGATTGTTCTTGCTTAAATTGTGAAAGCTTTACTGGTTCAGCTCATAAATACAGTCTTGGCAAGAGTTCCCTGAGATAAAACTTTTCCTGCCCTGTGAATTTCTTGTTTTGAATTTTAGTACATTCTAACATGAGTGTTAAATCACTCATGTTAGAAGCTCAGTGTTTTGGAGGTCAGTATAGCTATTAAAAGACACACAGTCATTGATGGCTGCATCCATCCTGCCACTGAGGTCTCTGTCTCTGTGCCCTGCAGGTTGTGGGTTGGCTATCAGTATGTCATCACTGGCCGGAACCACTCCTTGGAAGGTCGCTGGGAGGTCGCATTCAAAGGTGAGCCCTTCTGGTCTGTGGGAGTGTTTGAAGCTGGGCAGAGCCACCCTGATTCGGGGGATACCTCAGGGGCCTCCCTTCCTCCCTCTCACCCAGTGCTGCTTGGCCTGTAGGGGTATGTGCAGGGGACATGGAGAGGGTGAGCCCCAGTTGCAGCGGGGGCTGTGGTCATGGGACTAGCACAGCCTGCAAGTCAGACCTTACATTGGGCTGTGGCCATTTCTAGAACTCATTGTTGCTACTTTGACCAGCTTTCTACATTGTTCCTCCTGCCTTTGAAGTTAAGGACCTTGGAGTATAAAAATGAGCATGCAGAGTGTGCCCCTGGCAGCCTGGAGAGGAGGACAAGCTTGCCAGGACAAAGAAGGTCAGAGGTAGCATCCAGACCTGAAGGAAACTATCAGCCAGACAGACTTAAAATAGGTTGCACGTATGCCCGTGTGTGTGTGTGTGTGTGTGTGTGTGTGTGTGTGTGTGTGTGTGT